GCTGCAAACAACTGAAGGATTTTCCTTTTTATTCTGTCTTATTATGTTAAGTAAGTTATGTTTATTTCTCTAGCACCATTTTTCAGACAAGCGCTTTACAATGTTCAGAAAAAAAATCAGATATTTTTCCATTTACACTCACGGTGATGACGGAAGGGAGGACGGCAGACTCAATGGTCCATCAAATATGCTATTCGACCACACCATTCCATTTCATCACTCATACATTCCATTCGTGCTTGTTTATAAGAGGTAGGGGAAACCGGAGAGGCGCCGGTGGAAACCTACGCAGACACAGTGGTGAGTACATGTAAACTACACTCTTGAAAAGGCACCTGTTCGACGGGATTTTGAACCCTGGACCTCTTGCCTGAGAGAAGCGATACCAGTTAAGTACTTTGGTTACCATGTGTATGAACTGTGCTTTACAAACAACCTTTCCTTAAATTAAATTTAATAAAAAACATGGAGCCAAAAATAATCCAGGGTTAGCTAAGATGCAATTTGTCATTTGTCCTGTCGGTTTTGGCCTTTGTGTTAAAAATAGCAACAAAAAAACAAACCTTATAATTAATGTTTCTATAATTAATAGGCAGGTTTGTGGGGCCCTGGGTTGTGCTGTGTTGGGAGAGACCGCTGGGAACCACTTATGAGACGACCTAATATATAAGTGCTAAAGCTAAAACGGTTGAAATCCTCTTCCTTTTAATGTACTGTTTGAATTGTTGTTGTGATGAATCGTGTTTTGCTACAATCTTTGAGTTCGCCTTGTGTGTGATACTGTGCATTTCATATAAACATGCCTTTGCCCTGTCATCACATGGGAGGTTTCATGCACCAGACGAAAAATTATTCCACTATCTCCAGGTCTTTGGTAGTGTCATCCCAGTTCACACTCTGTCACTAATAAAAGCATGAGAGAGAGAGTCCAAAAACACAGTCTTTCAAAACTTGTAAAGAAGGCGAGTTGTGGCTGGTCTGATGGCAACACTTTACTGATGAGGAAATTTCAATAGGAGTATCTAATTTATAACATGAATGTGAGGAATGAATCTATCGTAAAAACAACATCGGCCAACGATACGCCACAAGAATTTACAGAGTAAGGTACTTACGAAGAGTCTATGTAATTATAAAAATCCAATTACGGTAATTGATATGGTGGACTCAAAACCACTCAGAGCAATAGTCATGTAATCCAATATAATAGTAATGTATACAGTCAATAGACAAATGTATGTGTTGTCAATTAAAGCTGGGGTATCTATACTTTCCAAACCAACACATACAGCAGTTTACTATCTCTCTCTATTACAGTTTGGTTCCATCATTATAGTGTTCAAATATATTTTTTTTGGCCTCGGTGTGTGTGTTTTGTCTCTTTGCAATTGTGGTGTATGTGTGTGTGTTTACGACCCTTTGTGTTTGTAGTTTTGTCGTGTATATGTGTGTGTGTGTGCTGTGTTATTTTTTGTATGGTAGTTATATGTGTTGTATATGTGTATTTTTAGTGTGCATGTGTGTGTGTGTATGTCTATTGTTATTTGTAATTATTATGTGTGTGTGTTTGTATTTTTGTGTATGTATAGTGTGTGTGTGTGTGTGTATTTTTGTTGGATTTATATGTGTGTATATGTGTTATTTTTGTATGCTTGTGGATGTCTATTTTTGTATGTATATATATTGTGTGTGGTGTGTGAGTGATTTCTTGTATGTATGTACTGTATTGAGTGTGTGTTTATGTATGTTTTTTGTACATGTTTATATGTGTGTGTTTGTATTTGGATGTATATATCATTATGTGTGTTTATATTTTTGATGTATACAAATTATTGTGTTATGAGTGTTTTATTAGCTTTTTTTGTAATTTGTGTTGTATTTTTATGTATTTGTGTGTGTGTGGTGTGTGCTCATGTGTGCGTGTGTCGTGTCATGTGTTTTGTTGGAGGGTATCTGTAGTCTCTTTGTTATCTTGGCTATTTTTTCGTAGTTTGTGTCTGAAATGCGTGGTGGGGATGGATTAAAATCTACGGTTGCTTGTTTTTCTCATATTTTTCTGATTAAATTATTTTTTGTTGTTTTATTAAGTAGTTATAATTGCACAAAATTATGAGCATAATATTGGACAACCAATTTTCAACAATTATTTGGAGCATGTCAATGATTTAATCAATAACCCTTTCTCTGAATTTCATGACAAATTTAGAAAAGAATGATCTATATATTATAAACATTAATAAAATTTGACTTCTTTTATATATATAAATCATCAATATTACTAATAAAACATAACAGTCCTTAATAAATCATGTTTTACAACTCTTGAAGAGGTAATGTGATGTGTTATTTTTATTTCATCAAATATACAGGCAGTGCATTGGACACCTAATTAAATCAAGCTTTTTTCTGTGATTGGAGTCACAAATATATTTAAGATAAATAATCAATTTGTGAAAGTAAATCAAAAATCATCCTCTTTTTGAGGTCATAACAACATGACATCAGATTTGGAAACTTCTTCCAACCATTTAAAAGGCTTGTTGTTTCTTTTTAGATGAAACTTCTTCTGTGGGTCCTTTGCAAATGTCGGATTGCTGATATAACTGTGTGTCTTTGGTAGATTTCAAAATAAATGCTTAAAAATTGTAGTTTTTTTTATGCGTCGCACACATGATATTTCTCAAAGTGACTTTTTCCTCGGCTGTTAAGTGGAAAAATGTCTATTACAAGATCACTGTATTTTCACATTGGAGGTTACAAAACACGTCAGAAAAAATGCCAGTAATTTGTGTAGATTTAGATACCTTTTTTAAGCAATAAGTATGTCCAGAACTGGATTCATGTACGGACGGTCGTACCACATTTTGACACTTTCATTAACTAATAAAAATGCATAATTCGTACTGCTTTTTTTAAAAAATATATTCTGGTTGCAATTAGAGAGTGGGATTAAAGTATGTATGGTATGTTATGATTTTATAGAATAATATTTTAACAACAAAAAATGCAGGTCAGACAGTGATTTTGACCTTATGCCCCCCCCCCCCATACAGCTTATGGGCTACTATATGGCTTTGTTAGTATTGCATTTTCTGTGTTTTGAAACTGTTTGATTCTCTCCTTCCTGCTGGGAAGATCTATCAACAAGAAGTCCTCCACGAGGAGACGACTGACGGTTGTGAATTTATGCCTATACAAAAATGAAGTTGGATAGATGTACGCACAATATGAATGTAATGTTGCTGAGGGTTTAAGTATTGTTGTTATTTAGAATCTAATCATAATTTGCAAACCTATGGCTTCTTCAACCCCTTTTTACGTGCCTCATTCTGTATTGTCTCTTGTTCTAGAAAAAAGAAAAAGGTAAATAAAAGGCATTCACCATTCTTTGCATTGTACACGTGAAGGTATTCAACAGTATGTGGTTTTTTTGCAGGTTTGTAATCTATAAAAAAACAATATAAGAATACCTACACTACTTGGGGATTACTTGATCAATATATTTCTTTAAAACACAAAACCAGTCTTGCTTTTCGGCAACATTGACGAATTGTGAAAACTGTAAAAGGAATTATCTTCATTTACCTCCCAATCAAAATGTAATCGTAGCCATCTTTTGTCCCTATACATTTATTTTCGAAACAAAATATATTAGTGGATAGTTTAGATCTGGACTATTTATCATTAGATCGTCAAGTTTCTAATCCATCTCTGAAATGATGTGTTGATGCTAGGTTCACAATTCTAAATCAGTTTAAATTCAGCTGTCCTGCAGATTTGAGAACCACAGGTAATCTCAAGACAAGCCTAAAACTGTCCATGGTTTAGGTTTACTTTCCGTTTTATTTCGTTAGTTTGTTAGAGATGTCTTCTTTGGTGTGTCTTCCTGGTTACCTGCCCTGCCCTCATGTGGTTCTCAACCCTGTGTGTGTTAGTCTTGTATTCAGCCCTGTGTGTTTCTTCACTCCCTGTTCCGTCATTGTCAATCCTTGGTCTGTTTTAGATTCTTGTTCTGGTTCTTGTGTTTGGGATTTGTTTATTCTTTTATTAATCCATTTTTTTTTGCAGGTTTGCATTTTGGGTCTCCTTTGATTTTTCCCATGTGACAGAATGACGGAAACCAAAACAAGGCCCAAGCAGACTGTGTATCTTTTGTTTTTATTTTTGTCACCTCTGGGTCTTTTTTCCCCTGACTGGTCTTTGTGAGTTGACTGCAAGGAGTGGACACTGACCTCTCTGTCTGTGTCCTGGACCACTACAGGACACTTTGCTACATGTCCGGGGGTGGTTAGCAGGATTTGTCCCTGGCCCTGATCCTGCTGGATAGTTCTTCTTCAGGGGGCCTTCTGGTTTTTGTACCTTTTTGCTCTCCAGCTCCCGGTGTTGTCGAGTTGGTCTGCCCGCGAGATGATACTGCCTCAGCTGTTAATGATGTGATGCAAACCTGCGCGTCTCACGGCAGCCGAAGCACTCACAAGATGGCGGACGATTGGAGTCCGCGAATTGCTTTAAAGCTTAAATACGAAGGAATTAAGGACACAACTGTCACTTTTAATGTATTTTGAGCGAGATGTTGATGGTCCGCATTCTGAAATGTGGGGTGTTTTAAGAGTAAGAGTTTTGTGTAAGTTTGTTTTAAGCAGTCCACTGCCGGCTTGTGTGATAGCAGTCCCTGAGTTCCCCCCACTGCTGCAAACGTCATTTTACTGTCGTAGGCCCTTATGAGTTGGGCACACTAGCAGTGTCGTTTCACAGCAGTGGTCTCGCTTGCTACAAACTTTCCACGAACTCTACTCTTAAAAACACACAATCACGACACTGAAAGCAACTCCCATCAACATCTCGCTCAACATTGCATTAAAAGTGACTTCATGTCTTAAATTTGTTGTATTATTTTAACCGTTCTAAAGCAATGTTTGAGGACTTGATGTCCGCCAATTTGGATTGCTTTGGCTGCGTGAGGACGCTCGGTGCAGGTTTGCATTACATCATTAACAGCCATGAGGGAGGATCATCTCAACGGGCAGTCCAAACTCGACAGAACAACGGACTCAATTCCGCTCCAGCTCCTGCAGATTCACGTCCCTGCCCCGGCTTCAAGTCCGGCCCTTCCTACGGTCCCCTCCTCCCTCCATGTGTTTTTGTTTTTTGGACGTACTGGGATCCGTCCCTTGAGGGTGCGATCGGTGCGTAGTACGGGCGTCCCAATTCTCAAGGGAGGGCTTTGGCCCCGCCCCCTTGAGGACCCTGTTCACACTTCGCCGTAGGTAGCCTGCATTATGCGCACTCTGGCGAAGGATATTTGGCCCATAATTCTTTGCGCGTACCACCAAAAACATACTGAAATATACATATGCAGTATGTGTGTAAATAAGTTTGCTTTGTTACTTGGAAAAGAGCATAACGTCTCTGAGTTCTGAGAAGAATTACGGCTTTGTGTTTTTTAACAATTGAATTACTTTTTAAAGCAAGCGTTTATATAAATTCATATTTAAACTTTTATTCACTTAGTACACTAATTTAGTATGGTTTTAAAAATGACCAGATAGTTAGTTACACATTTTTAAATTAAATTATTACAGCTATCTCTTATTAAAAACAACTAATATAATGTATTTTAACGTGTGTGGAAGCAAATTACATTTTGTTTCCCAAAGGGTCACGTACAAAATTTACCCCTTTAATGTTTATTAAAGTTTAGGTCTGATAAGTCCATCTCTGACGAAGTCTGATGAGTACGTGACCTGCACTAAGTGTGCACTGTCCCAATTCCGCCTTTTTTGCACACTTTTACTGCGCCATCTCCAACCTGGTGTTGCACTTCCGAACAATATGCACACTACATAGAGGGTGTGTAGGGTGCGGTGGGTATTGGGATTGGGCCTTCCTGTGTGGTTAATGCACCTGTCCTCATGTGTCTCACTGTGTCATGTTAGTTTGTATTTCAGCCTGTGTGTTCTTTTTTTTGTTTTTTTTATCACGTGAAAAAAAACATTTATTCCAACAGACGAGACCGCCACATGCGGGGTCTCCAACCTGTAGCTTGGGACCACCTTACAGGTAGCTTCCCTTCAGAGATATACAATGCAACCCAGGACATGTTGAGTCTAAACATAGGGTCATACAGTATTATTATATTTCACAGGTGTCTTCTCTCTTAAGTTAGGACAGATTTTTTACTTATATAGCTCTCCTGGGCTCTTCTATTATACAAAATTAGCTCTCTCATTCAAAATGGTTGGAGACCCCTCGATGCATAGCGCGCTCTTTACCTTTTGGCACCAGCGTACGTCAAGTGCGTCAAGTGCCGCTACAAGAAATAGGGGAGGACGTATTAGGCTCTCAACTTTCCCCTGGCGCTTGTTGCGTCGTTCTATTCAGCATACGTCCCTCCGTCAACAACGGAGACAAAAACTACAGCCGGACACATCCTGAATAAAGATCCGCGGGAAAGTTAAGTAGTTTGTCCGCTCAGGGGCAGGTGGAGCCGGGGGAGGACGCTGCCGTAAAGACCGCGGCGAGCTCTGGATGCATCGTGGACGTGACGCGCGGCTCCGACTCTGGACTCGGGGGCTCAGAGCGCTCCGCTGAAGTGAAGGGGGCTGTGGTGGTTGTGTGTGTGAGCTCTCTCTTCCTCCTCTCTCTGTGTCTCACTGATACAACCCCCTACGGTTTGCATTGCGCCCTGATCTCTTCTATGTGTGTCTCCTCTCTCTTCTCTCTCTCTCTCTTCTCTCTCTTCTCTCTCGCTCTCTCTGTGTGTGCTCTCTCTTTCTCGATATCACACTGCGTTGTGTGTTGCGGGCGGCTTCTCTGTATTTGTTCTCCCTGAACTCTCGCTCTCTCTCCCTGCTTTCCCTCTCTTTGTCTTCACTCCCTTTTGCTCTCTCTATGACTAACTCTCTCGCTCTCTCTTTAATATCATGGGTGTTGTATGCTCTCCGTCTCTCGCTATCTCTGTTTCTGTGTTTCTCTCTCCTCCTCTCGCTCCCTCTCTCTGTAAAGCTGATGAAATACCGCCACGTGCGCTCGCTCCTTCTTCCATAGAATAAAAACAAAACATAAAGTCTCTTGCATTCAGTGTCCGTAAAGGGAGCGCGCGGTTGGACGTATCACATGGGCGGCTCCAGAGAATCTACCAGGGGGGGGCCTATGCGGGACCCTCATTATTAACGCACTAAATGACTAGACCGGGTTAATATAAAGTTAAATTATTTTCGAGGAGAAAGATTGGTCTTAATGAGGGTCTTGAGTTTCCCATGGTTAAATATCTCAGTAGTTGCATTTGAAATACCCCTTGGTCCAATTCTAAGATCCAAACAGGCCTGATTCCTCTCATGATGGTGCTCTCTCAGCCTCAGAGAAAAACCCCAAACCCCTTTTATTGTTTGTGTTTGTTTATTGGTTTATTGGCCATGGTAACTCATCTCTGTTACTTCTGGTTCAGTGTGAGACTATTTATTTCCTCATTAGCTTAGCTTAAATGTCATGAACTTGCGGTATCACAAACATTAATAAATATTGTCTTTATAAGTAATCATTTATTATTACTAATAAATATAATAATTTCAACATATTCATTTATGTAGCTCATATGATGTACTATTGACCTAACTGGTTACAAATTGTATGGTATTTTAATTCAGTAATATTTAGGGACTAGGATAAAACATTTTTCCATGGAGAAGTCAATATATTCACTGTTTTGGTGATAATGTGTGTGTTTAACATTAGAAATAATTGTATTTTACACATACCACACATGAAATTGTTATTATCTGTCTTTTAGGGACTTTCTATATTGTAAATATTTGTCATTAATCATGGCGCATGTTATTCGCCAGAGCATCTCACAGGTCCAGAGTGATAAACGCTCTTTGCAGCTGAAGTTGGAGGATGTCAGCCGTCTGTTTAAACACACTGAGAGTCGAGAGCGAGCCCTGCATTATGGTACAACCATGGATGTGTTATATGATTTATTATAATTGCAATATAGTTTAATGGGTACAACCATGGAGGTAGATCTCACAAAATAGACTGTTTCACAACAAGCTTCTCACTCTGTACCTTCTGCATTGTACATCCTAAAATATACATGGTGTATGGGCGCCATCTGCAGAAAAAAACCCGAACATCGCTATTTCAGTCCTTAACAGCAACACTATTTTATAGTGTTAGTTATGGTGATTTCAATGGTTTTGTTAAGTCCTCTGAGATGACTTCTGTTGTGACCTAGGGCTATACAAGAATAAATTGTATTGTGTATTGTATTGTATACAGCTCAAAATAATTAATTTAGTTCTTCTGGTGCCAAAAACAATTAAACAACATATATCTACATCTCTGGAGTTTTAAATAACGCAATCAAATGGCCTTGGCTTTCTCTCTAGTAATACATTTGTTTTACTAATTATATACGGTTAATAGAGCTTTAAATACTAAAACTAGTGTATTTCAGAACAAGGCTGCCTCTTGGGCACAGTGAAGGAACTGCATCAGAGTCTGGAGGCTCAGTTTCACACCAGAGGTGAGATGTTGTTTGTTTTATGTATTTATGAAGTGAAGAGGTGATGACAGTCTTCAAAGAACATACATTACAGCTTTACTATAACTTTCCCAGGAATGAAAGATTCTTTTCCATTCTTATGTCTCCAGTAGGTTAGACTACTGTAACGACATGCTCTGCTCACTGGGCTTTCCAAACAAGCTGTTAAAGAGCTGCTTGTTTTCAATGTTAACATTTTTGTTGCGGTTCTTTTGAAAGTAAGATGTGTAACCTTGTTAAATTGTTTCGGCTGCACAGATGTTAACAGGTAATATATCTAAGTTGTCTTTCAAAAGAACCACAAAAACATCCTTTCACATTAGTCCTGGTTAAGTATCTGACCTGAAATTGTTTCACATGAGGTCTCAAGTCTTTGATGTGAAGTCATTTCAATCTGGAGAGACTCAAAGAGACAAAACAAGGGTTTTATTAGAAATTGCATATTTTGGTTGGCCATTAGTTTGACGCTACATAAATTAGCACATACGACTCTGAATAGGTTGTGCTTTGTGGATTTGGAGAAGGCGTTCGACTGTGTTCCCCGGGGTGTCCTTTGGGGGGTTCTCCGGGAGTACGGGGTCGGAGGTCCTCTGCTGAGGGCCATCCGATCCCTGTATGACCGGAGCCAGAGCTGTGTTCGCATTGCCGGCAGTAAGTCAGACCTGTTCCCGGTGAATGTTGGCCTCCGGCAGGGCTGCCCTTTGTCACCGGTTCTGTTCACTGTATTTATGGACAGAATATCTAGGCGCAGCCAGGGGTCGGAGGGGGTCCGGTTCGGAGACCACAGGATTTCATCTCTGCTGTTTGCGGACGATGTTGTCCTGTTGGCTCCAACGAACCAGGACCTGCAGCATGCACTGGGACGGTTTGCAGCCGAGTGTGAAGCGGCTGGGATGAGAATCAGCACCTCCAAATCCGAGGCCATGGTGCTCGACCGGAAAAAGGTGCCTTGCCCTCTGCAGGTGGGTGGAGAGGTCCTTCCTCAAGTGGAGGAGTTCAAGTATCTCGGGGTCTTGTTCACGAGTGAGGGAAGAATGGAGCGTGAGATTGACAGGCGGATCGGTGCAGCGTGCGCAGTGATGCGGTCGCTGTATCGGACCGTTGTGGTAAAGAGGGAGCTGAGCCGAAAGGCAAAGCTCTCGATTTACCGGTCAATCTTCGTTCCCTCCCTCACCTATGGTCATGAGCTTTGGGTAATGACCGAAAGAACGAGATCGCGGATACAAGCGGTCGAAATGAGCTTCCTCCGCAGAGTGGCTGGGCGCTCCCTTAGAGATAGGGTGAGGAGCTCAGTCACACGGGAGGAGCTCGGAGTAGAGCCGCTGCTTCTCCACGTCGAGAGGAACCAGTTGAGGTGGCTCGGGCATCTGTTCCGGATGCCTCCTGGACGCCTCCCTGGGGAGGTGTTCCGGGCACGTCCCACCGGGAGGAGGCCCCGCGGAAGACCTAGGACACGCTGGAGGGACTATGTCTCTCAGCTGGCCTGGGAACGCCTTGGGGTCCCCCCGGACGAGCTGGAGGAGGTGTGTGTGGATAGGGAAGTCTGGGCATCTCTGCTTAGACTGCTGCCCCCGCGACCCGGCAACGGATAAAGCGGAAGAAAATGGATGGATGGATGGACTCTGAATATTTGAAAGATTATGTATGTTTCAGAAGGAAAAGAGATCCATGGTGTAGGGATTGAGATTTAGTCTCCCACTACAATTACCTTGGCACTATATTGGACGATAAATTGAAATTTGATGATGCAGGAACATGATGCAGCTCAAATTTGGAACCATCTTCAGAAAATGTAAAGGTATGGTTTTATGTTGCAGTGGAAAATGAGAGACTGCAGAGTCAACTGGAGCAGCTGAAGATGGAACATGCCAAAAAGGCTCAGGTCTGTTCTTGAACTAAATTGAATTTGAAATGTTGCAGCAGTACTTTTTAGTTGACTGTGTAGTGTGTATCTCTACAAACCGTATTTTGTTTGTTTGAAAAGTGATTATTCTCTGTTGCTACATGATAATAACATACACCCAATACTTCACCCCAACAGATAATGTGAAAAATAAATATTTATAAGAATTCATCATGGTGGGGGCAGGGAGCTTTGTTGCCTCCTGTAAAGTGTGTCAGCAACTTGGGCTAAACGAATAATCCCAATCAAATCCAAATTACAATTTCTGTGGTTGCGAATAGCAAAATGTAAAGAATTATTGTTGTTCTTTCCTTTCAAAAAAGAACTAAAGATATGCAAAACAACTTTTTTTTATTTTTATGAACCAAGTATCTTTCATCTTGTTGTTGGGAGCATGTTTTATTAAAAATGTCAAAATATGTTTCACACCTCTGTAAGGTTTGGTTGTAATTGGTATGGTATTTTAAGTGAGCAAGAAAAGATGAAAACCTCTTAAATAAAATAGTTAAAGTAGTTTTTGTGTATACATTTTTGTTTGCAGTGAATTTTTTTATTTGTATTGTAGGTTAGATCTGTATAAACATTCTGAAACATGTGGTGATTGTGTCTTGGAGGTAATGGCTTCATTTGATGGTCAACAATGTCACAATTAGATGTATAAAATAAACATGTGCAACAGATATTTTGCAAAAGTTAGACTTAAACGGTGTCTTTGATAGATCTCTAAAGTTACCACAAAGTGTGGATGAAGATATACATTATTTTAAAAGGAGTGTTAGAGCTATTTGTCTATTTTTTATTCTAATTATGATCTACTTTAGTTAATTATTTTTCTTAGTTTGCAAAGATAATTTTGGGTTAATTATTGCTTATGTTAATTTAATTTGGTCACGAGGATAAATAGGGCGATGGGGGGGAGGGCGCGGCATAGAGGCGTTTTGGGCATATGGTTTTTTACCAGCGAGAGGAGAGGCTGCAGTTCTGCATGTTTGCCATTTGCTTGGAGAATAAACCCACCAAAAATGCAATATTGTTTGGACATTATGTTTTCTCTATCCTGCGTAAAGCCAACCTGAAAACGCCTTAGTGGCCTTTTGATTTGTTTTGGTTTAATATGGACATGGTTTGAGTTATGGACAAATCGCCACTACATTAAGTAAAAAACCTCCCCTGGAATATTATTTTGGCTCTCGTGGACTTTGAGCTTTGTATGATTGCTCATCTGGTTTCGTGGATTTACTTGCACAACTGGACAAGTTTGGTGACGAGACTTTGCGGCGTGGATAAAGGCAGCGCACAAGCTTCAATCCCAGTCATCCTACAGTGAACGGCCATTCTGGACACCGTATTGGATAACGGTGACGCTATTGGAGCTCTGGAGCCACATTTTGCTGTTTGGAGACTGGATATCTGTTTCATATTGGACGCAGTGTTGCTGGAGGGCCCAAAGCCTGCACAGGCTCAAGAGCGCGCGTCTCTGGAGCGCGCAACATCCACGGACCACCGCTGCAAGCCAGAGCGCTGTCTGTCACCACAGTACGTGTCGCATCAAGCACAAGTGACTTTGCTCGTACACTGCATTAAAGAACAATGTCGGACATTTCACACAAGGCTGCGAGTGATATGCAGGTTTCGACAAAGAGAAGAATAAGCTACAGTAAGGAATCATGTATTTTATGCAGACGTGCCAGGATAAAAGATCCACGTATTTCAAGCAAGCAAAAAAGTACATGAACCAAGTCTGTAATTTAATGCAAGACACGGACAATGTTTATGCAGTGAAAACTATTTTGGATCAAATGATAAAATCTGTTGAAGAAGCAAAGAAACAACATGAATCATTTATGACACTGGATCTGCCAACAGAAGAAAGAGACAAGCAAATAACATATTTTGACACTAAAGAAATGACATTTTCCAACTTCATTGTGGATGTAAATAGCTGGCTGTCTAATACCGAACATTCATATAAGCTGCCAACCGCAAATAAAGTGGAAAAACGAGACAAATGTGAGGATTTGGGGCCAGAGGACAGTGCGTCAAATGTCAGTCGCAAAGCACACTCAAATGCCGTCTCTAAACTGTCAAAAGCGTCATCCACTTCCTTTGCAAAAATAAAAGCACAAACAGATTCGGCAGCACTACGGGAGCGTATGGCAGCGTTAAAACAAAGACACTTTCTGGAGGCGAAGGAACAACAACTAAAGCTGGAATTAAGTGCAAAGCAGGATGAAATAAGGAGAGAAAAGGAACAACTAGAATTGGAGACTGAACTTAAAGTGGCAAACGCAAAATTGGAGATTTTGGAAACCATCTCAAAATGTGGATCAAAAACATCAATTCGTGGTTCAAATGTATCTGACGGAATGAACTCTTATCTGGGTAAAAAAATATCAAAGACAACTGAACTAAATGTACATGCTGGTCAGTTCGTGCCAATAAATAATAAAGGTCATACATTACATTTTTCTGATGGTGTTGTCAAATCAAAGTACCCAAATGTAGCTATCCCACAGCCACCAATCAATCAGCAAACAATGTACACGAACAAGACTTTCAACATGGTCTTGAGCTCAGCCCGTCTCATACATCTCCAAACATTTTAAATATTATGCAGCGCCAAAACGACATCACTGCATTACTTGTGCAACAAAGTTCAGCGTCTGCTCTGCCAATGAGAAATCTGCCAGTGTTCGAGAGTGACCCAATACAATTTAAATCCTTCTTGAGAGCCTTTGAAAATTGTGTTGAAAGTAAAACAACTAACACTAGTGACTGTCTGTACTTTTTGGAGCAGTACACCAGGGGGCAGCCAAGAGACATTGTTAGAGGTTGTCAACATCTCCCTTCCGAGCTTGGTTTCGAAAAGGCAAAGGCACTGCTCATTGAACATTTTGGCAGTGAACACAAAATCTCTTCAGCATATATGGACACAATAAATAACTGGCCATCAATAAAAGCTGAGGATATCAATGCACTTCAGTCATTTTCCATGTTTCTGCGTGGATGCTCCAATCTGGTTCAGCAGATCAAATACATGAAGGAGTTGGACATGCCAGCCAATCTAAAGACTAATATTTTGAAACTGCCGTATAAACTCAGGGAAAAGTGGAGGAATGTGGCATGTGATATATTGGAGCAAACTGGAACCAGAGTTGTATTTGTTGATCTGGTAAATTTTATTGAAAAACAAGTTTAAAAATGTATTCAGATCCATTGTTTGGAAATGTTATTGAAACAATATCTGCAAGCAAACCAAGCACCTCAACATACACAAGACAAAAAGTGAAAGGAGGAACTTATGCAACGAGTGTCAGTACAATAAAGGATGGAAATAAAGATGAAAGCAAAGAAAATACAGCTTCTCAAAGAAACACGACCCAATGTCTATCTGTCACTACAGTAATCACAATCTGGACAAATGCTCACGGTTCAAGGTAAAGTCACAGCAGGACAAAATGCAGTTCTTAAAGGAAAAGGGACTTTGCTTTGGCTGCTTTAAGCATGGACACACAAGCAAAGACTGTAGGAGTCGTTTGGATTGTGACTTGTGTAAAAGAAAGCACCCAACTGCTCTGCATTTTGAAAGGAATAATACTTCCAACAATAATTCTGTGAGCTCTAACGTTGTTCGTGAGCAGACTTGTGGTCACATAGGGGCTGGTGAAGAGGATGCTGCTGTTTTCTCCATTGTAACTGTACATGTGAAAAATCATAAAAGTAACAAGACAATACGAACGTATGCTTTCTTGGATCCTGGAAGTTCTGGCACATTTTGCACTGCTAGTTTGGCCGAGAGGCTCGGTGCGACAGGCAAAAGCTGCAATATTCAGTTGAAGACAATGGGGCAAACCAAAAACATAAACACCACTCTAATAACTGGTTTAGAGGTATCAGGTTTGGACACAGAGGACTTTATTGAACTACCATCTGTTTTGACTCAAACTGCATTGCCTGTGTCCAGAGTAAATGCACCACGACAGGAGGATGTTGCAAAATGGCCCTATCTGAGCAGCATAAAAATACAAGTGGATGCAGATGTGGATTTACTCATTGGAACAGACTCTCCCAAAGTTTTAGAGCCATGGGAGCTAATTAATAGTCAATATGATGGACCATATGCAGTGCGGACAAAGATCGGTTGGGTTATAAATGGACCCCTGCGTACAGTAGACTCTGGAGGTGCTGGGCTCCAAACAGGCTGCACTGTTGTTACTGCTAATCGCATTTCTGTGGAGCACTTGGAAACAATGTTAATGCAGCAGTACAACAATGATTTCAATGAAAGAACTTATGATGTGCAGCTTGAAATGTCAAGAGAAGACCTTAACTTCATGAACATTGTAGAACAAACAACAGTGTTAAAAAATGGACATTATTGCATTGATTTACCTTTTAGAGTCAAAGATCCTGTGTTGCCAAACAATCGCTGTGCTGCTTTACAGAGACTCCAAGGTCTTAAACGGAAATTTGAGAAGAATACTTCCTTTAAAGTTCAATACACTGACTTTTTGAATAACATGTTGGAGAATGGATATGCAGAAAGGGTTCCCACAAATGAGCAGACTCCAGAGGAGGGAAAGGTGTGGTATATTCCCCATCATGGAGTACATCACCCCACCAAGGGAAAACTGCGTGTTGTATTTGACTGTGGCTGCACATTTAAAGGCACATCTCTGAATAGTCAGCTCCTTCAGGGCCCAGACTTGACCAATACACTGGTTGGTGTTCTCCTCAGGTTTAGAGAAGAGCCAATTGCAGTAATGGCTGACATTAATGCCATGTTCTATCAGGTGTTGGTCCCACACAAGCATGTAAATTTCTTGCGCTTCCTTTGGTGGCCAAATGGGGACACTGCAAAAGAGCCAGGGGAGTACAGAATGTGTGTGCATTTATTTGGAGCTGTATCTTCTCCAAGTTGTTCTAATTATGCATTGAGAAGAACTGCAGATGATAATGCTTTGGCATATTCAAAGGACACTGTAAACACAGTCAAAAGATGCTTTTATGTGGATGATTGTTTAAAGTCGACAACTACAGAAGAGGATGCAATACAGTTAGTTCAGGAGCTGACATCACTTTGTGAAAAAGGTGGATTTCGTTTGCTAAAATGGGTCACTAACAATGCGAATGTGTTCACAGCAATCCCACATAACATAAGAGCAGTGGGCTTGGAAAGTATGGACATGGATCGTGACGAGATCACAACAGAGCGAGCACTGGGGATGCAGTGGTGTGTTCAAGCAGATACATTCAGCTTTAGAACCGAGGTGCAGGAATGCCCACACACCAGAAGGGGCATCTTATCCGTGGTGAGCTCACTCTATGATCCATTGGGGTTTTTATCTCCCTTTATAATTCCAGCCAAGTTACTGCTCCAAGAGCTATGTCGTATGAACTTGAAATGGGATGAGCAAATTCCAACTGTATTTTCAAAACAGTGGTCTGAATGGATTTTTGAGCTACGTCAAATATGTGGATTTAAGGTGGGCAGGTGCATTAAACCACAAAGTTTTGGAGCGCATGTGAAAGCACAGTTGCATCATTTCTCCGATGCCAGTCAAACGGGCTATGGAACAGTATCATACTTGAGAATGGAGAATGGGGACAGTGTACACATTTCCTTTATCATGGGCAAAGCTCGAGTTGCTCCTTTAAAGCAAGTTACTATTCCCCGTCTGGAGCTTGCCGCAGCTGTACTTGCTGTTAGAGTGGACACTATGCTGTTGAAAGAGCTACAAATTCCTCTGGAAAGCTCAGTGTTTTGGACCGATAGCACCACGGTTCTCAAATACATTTTCAATGAAACCAAGCGCTTTCACACTTTTGTGGCTAATCGCATCGCTGCAATAAGAGAAGCAACAACCACTGACCAATGGAAATATGTTCACACAAAGGACAATCCTGCAGATGAGGCATCTCGAGGTCTTACAGCGAAAGGATTAATCAATAGAAAATGGATAAAAGGACCAGATTTTCTTTCTCTACCTCCAAGTGAGTGGACTGCATTTGACATGGATTTTACCCCAGTTCCTGCTGATGATCCAGAGGTAAAAAGAGAAGCGAGAGTTAATGCTGTTTTAACACAAGGTGAGAATTTCACTAGTCAGCTTGTTCGCTACTTTTCTTCCTGGACAAAGCTCAAAACATCTGTAGCGTGGTGGCTGGAGTTAAAGGAGAAGCTTCTGCTCTTGAGTAAAAAAAGAAAGGAATGTAAAGAAAGTGAAAATATGGACAAGGAACTTGAAATGTTTAAAGCCCAACTTGGGAACTCCAGTTTAACCCCAAAGCGTTTGGAAGAAGCCGAAAAAACAATTATTTGCTTTGTTCAACAACAGAAATTTGGCAGTGAAATTGCCTTACTGAAACAAGACTGTTCAAAAACAGTTAATAAAGACTGTCCTCTGTATCGTTTGGATCCGTACATTGATGATTGTGTTCTCAGAGTCGGTGGTCGCCTGTCGAAGTCGGCTCTACCACTAGAAGTAAAACATCCTGTGATTCTGACAAAAAGATATGCATGTTTCTCATTTAATATTACGTCATATTCATCAACAGCTTGGACATGCCGGACGTAACCACATGCTGCACAGGTTGAGACAAAGGTACTGGGTAATAAATGCCAATTCTGCGGCCAGAAGCATCATATCACAGTGTACGGTATGTAGAAGGTACAGAGGGAAACTGGGAGAACAAAAAATGTCAGATTTACCAAAAGAAAGAGTTCTGCCTGATAATGCACCATTTACAGATGTGGGGGTGAATTATTTTGGACCTCTGGAAGTGAGGAGAGGGAGAACTATGTTGAAAAGATACGGAGTGATTTTCACTTGTTTCAGCAGCCGTGCAGTGCACCTGGAGGTGGCGCAGTCTCTCGACACGGACTCCTGCATCAATGCTATCCGAAGATTTGTCTGCAGAAGAGGACCTGTGACGAGCATTAGGTCAGACAATGGCACAAATTTCATCGATGCAAATAAGGAACTGAAGCAGGCCCTCAATGCATTGAATCAGTCCAAAATTGAGAAAGCTTTTGTCCAGGAAGGAGTGAAATGGAGATTCAATACGCCAGCAGCCTCACACCAGGGTGGAGTGTGGGAGCGTCTGATACGCGCAGTGAGAAAGGTGCTTACCTCTGTTGTGGGACAGAAATCTCTGGATGATGAAGGCCTGTTGACTTTGTTTTGCGAGGTGGAAGCAATACTGAATGACAGGCCAATCACAAAAGTCTCATGATCCCAACGACTTGGAAGCCCTCACTCCAAACCACATCCTCCAGTTAAAAGGAAAGCCCATTCTCCCACCAGGCTTGTTTGAACCATCCGATATTTATGTCAGGCGTCGATGGAGGCAAGTGCAATACATCGCTGGACTTTTCTGGAAACGATGGACATCAGAGTATCTACTTGTGATGCAAGAAAGACAGAAATGGACTAAAGTTAAGCGGAACCTCTCTCCAGGTGACATTGTGGTCATTGCTGATTCAACAGCTCCAAGAGGATCCTGGATGATGGGCAGAGTTTTGAGCACTACATCAGACTCGAGAGGACTGGTTCGCTCCGCCAGGGTCCAGACCAAGACCAGTATCCTTGAGAGGCCCGTTACCAAGCTCTGTCTCCTCCTGGAGGCCACCACGTGATCCTATTCAGTCTATCTCTCCCGCTATTTCTATTTTCCTCCTGTTTTGTTTCTTTCAGGAAAGGAGAAGGACGACCAGAAGATCACATGGGAGAGTTACCTAATAGTAATAGGTAGAAAATAGCTCTGGTTGCTGTCGCTAAGGTTAATTGTGGGATGCACAATTAGGGGCTGGGTTGTTAGAGCTATTTGTCTATTTTTGATTCTAATTATGATCTACTTTAGTTAATTATTTTTCTTAGTTTGCAAAGATAATTTTGGGTTAATTATTGCTTATGTTAATTTAATTTGGTCACGAGGATAAATAGGGCGATGGGGGGGAGGGCGCGGCATAGAGGCGTTTTGGGCATATGGTTTTTTACCAGCGAGAGGAGAGGCTGCAGTTCTGCATGTTTGCCATTTTCTTGGAGAATAAACCCACCAAAAATGCAATATTGTTTGGACATTATGTTTTCTCTATCCTGCGTAAAGCCAACCTGAAAACGCCTTAGTGGCCTTTTGATTTGTTTTGGTTTAATATGGACATGGTTTGAGTTATGGACAAATCGCCACTACAAGGAGGAAATAACTACTTTTGTCCTGTTAAAGCTTTGGTACCTGACTTATTTTTCAATACATGTCGTTTGTCCCAACAGAAAGAGTCAAATCATACTGCACATGCTTTGTCCATCTTTGTTGTTGTGTCAGGAGGGAGAGGCCGAGCTGCAGAGGTTGGTTTCTGAGAGGAACGCAGACACAGAGCACCACCAGAGGGTGCTGGAGGATGTGAGACAGCAGAGCAGGAGGGAGGTGGAGGAGGCCAATGCACAGGCTGCACTCAACAGTAAGGGCCTTTCTCACATAACCTGTATTATGATATTAAAGCACTGGTACCTAAACTTTTGTTTCTGTTTGCTTTTTAAAAATGTCTCAAGAATACGTTTGCATAATCCTCTCTTTTTCACTTTTCTTATCAAAAACTTGTTTTTTAAGTTAGGTACCCCAGCTTTAAAGTGATAGTCTGTAACTCTAAATGAATTACAAATTTTAGGAAACGTGTTAAATTGACCTCCTGGCCTTAAAAGTCATTTTATTAATTTTAATATTACGGGCAAGTCCCGCCTTCCCTTCTCTTAGCTATAGCTCAGAATCCACGATGTCGTCAAAGTTAACCAATCGAGTCATGCCAAGGGCTGTCAATCATCGGCGCTGATGCTCGCAGCTGCTCATGCTCAGTTGTTTGTTTTCACGGAACCTCCGAATCAAGCCTCTGTTAGGCTCTGGAACTTCATGAAAACTGAACAAAGAATTCTGAACATCAGCGCTGAGTTAGTCATTTATATACTGAACCTATATCCATAATGAGATCCTCTGCAGATGTGTTCTATAATGTGCAATTCATGATAAAAGCTTGTTCCGGGTTTGCCGCGATCGCTTTTTTTGTACATAAAAACATTAATTTTTTTCATTAAAACGTAAACAAATAATTCTGAAAACCTTCTGAAAAAAGGAAGGGGGAGGGAGCTTGCGTCGTTTTTTTCAAATCAAGTACCTCTCTCTCTCTTTCTGACAAACTCCAGACAATCACTTTAACCTCTTCTCAGATGAGGAGGAGACTCTTCAGCGGTAGTGGGTTGGAAAAGGAACCCCCAAGACTCAGAATACACATACAAGCAGTGAAACGGTGTGTGGGTTTTAAGTAAAAGGAGCTAACACACCAATTATCAAATCAGATGTTTTTTATTCAACTATTTTTGGGAGAGGGAAGAGCATAAAACATAATATGGATTGAAAGGAAACTTTGCATTGATACTCTGAGCCCCACTGGCTTGTCCCTCTGCACACCTGCACCTGAGCTCAAGAGCAATCAGCCTTAGCTGCTCAATAGCACCTGTGCTTATTACTTCATGGCTACATTTAAACAGAGCCTCTCAGTTCTCTGTAGCTCAAGCTGCTGTTGCTGCACCAACCCACCTCCTTCTCATCACTGCCTCTTCAGTGGAGTATCATGTCTTGTCTTCGGCTCAGCTTCTTCACCACCAGGGTCTAGGCCCCGGGGGAGCCGTAAACTCACATTTTCTATTAAACTCCCATACGTCATGCGGTATTCCTGCCAGGGTCTAATAGGCACAGCTTATTAATAAATACAGTGGTACTAAATCTAAGTTTGCTGGTGTTTATTCATGCATCTTGACAATAAACATTCTAATGCAATCTTCATTGAGTCTTTCCAGATTTAAATATTTGTATGTATATTTAAATTCGGGAGATCCTAAAAATGTTCCTGCTGCTTTTTGTGAAAGTGGCGGCCAATGCGGAGGAGGTAAAGTGGATGCTGCAGCAGAAGGATGAGGAGCTGGAAGAGCTGAGGAGCAAACTCAAGGAGCAGGAGAGAGAACGCAACAGTGAGCTGCTCCGGCTCCAGATGGAGGTAACCACAAACCAATCAACGTAATTTTAGATCCATTTTCTCAAATAGTACATTTCCTTTTTTATATGATGACTATGCAGTTTTTGAGCTATTTTGGACACTGCTTTTTATTTGGATATGTTTGTCTTTGTCTAGTTTGGAGCAAAGTTGGCCCGTGTCCAGAGTTCAGTCCAGACAAACCAGCCACTGCAGAGTGGACCTAACCTAGCTCAGAACATCTTCAAGAGGGTGAGGCCATTACCAAATGGGTCAGAGCATGCATTATATCACTTCAATAATTTCCTCTGGAGCTGCAATTTCCCCACACACCAAACAACTAACAGCCAGCAGCCACATTTCTTCCACATTCGTGACTTTGGACGTCAGTCGCATGCAGACTGTTGATCCTGTTAGTCTCTGTCTCTATACGACATCACCGCCTCTAAGACTAATCACAAAAATGTGGCTTTATAATCACAGTTCACTCTCTATTCACAACTTTCTGGTTTTGATATGTGTTTTGGAAGTTTTTTTTCTAGAATTGTGAAACTCAGCCAAGGTTTGTATTTTGGTTTCTATAGGTGAATTTGAAACCCATGGTAGTTTTAGACTCAAAACACGTTTAAACAGTGAACTGCTGCTAAGTGAATGGATATAATGTGGCAAGTATTCAGCCCCCTTTGCTCTAAGTGGAACCAGTTTCCTGATGATGGTTCACTTGAGTGTAATATAATTTCAGTAAGATTACAGCTGTTCTGTTCTAAACTTCTAACGCTGCTTCAAACTTTTCCACACTTCATCCAATAAAAATGTCTCTAACTTTGAACATCTCACAGAGTACTGTCTAAACCTTATCCAAGTATGATATGATATATGGTATTGTGTGTCTTGCATTATTTAGATTCATTATGACCCTTTTCCACATATTTGCACGTGTGTTAAGACTGCATCTATTTACATGCCTCCTGTCTTCTCAGAAGCTGCAGTTCTTCCAGGAGGAGAAGAACAAGGAGGTGCTAGCTCTACAACAGCGAATCAGAGAGCTGGAGGAGTGTCAGCTGACCGGGCTCAAGCGCAGGAAAGTCTCCTTTAACATCTGAGCTATGAAAACAAACTGCTTACCTGCATGTGCGTTTGACAGACAGGGGTTCAGTCTTTATTTGTATATGTTTATCAATTTGAGATAGTTCATTGACTCTACTATGGAATTGTTATGTGCTGTTTTTTAAGATTTTCTAATTGTAATGATTTCAGGTGGAATGTCACTTGTTTAGATGTAAATACTGATGAAGTTAACTGAAAAATCTTTTGAAATGTACAGGAAGTAGAGCAACTGTCTCAAACTGATGACCTTAAAAGAGGGGGATTGATAGTTTGGTATAATATACACTTTTGAAAATGAAAGTATATACCTGTAATTTGTTTGTCCAAAGAATATTTTCTGTTATATTGAAAGAATTTTTGGCCTGATTTTATATCATCCTTCATGTGATGTCATCATTGCAACCATAAAGTAGAAATAAAAAAATATGGCAAAACTGGTGTAAAACTTTTTCCAAAATCTTAAATCTTAAAGTCCTAACTGGGTTTTGCAAAAAGTAATGTCCAAGCCTTTGGTCTCCAACCCCTAGTTCTGGAGATAATAACTTCCAAGTTGCTCAACAAAGAATCTACAAGTTTAAAATAATCTCCTCCATATTTAACATTTAACTATTTTAAATATTTAATTGTGTAGATGAATACATGGATAATAGGTTACATAAAGCAATCCAATCCACAGTTTAAAGAGGGTAGATTTCTGCCATTTTTGTCCTAAAAAATGGCACTCTTTGCGATAGAGGTTGGAGAACCCTGGTCTGAGCTGTCGTAGTAATTTAGGTGACGCTACACACACACTCACACACAGCTCTTTACTCGCTTCATGCTTCAAAGTAACTAAAATGATTATCTTTTAGAGTAGTTAGATGAAGTAACACGATAGTTTATGCTAACAACTGTTGTAACCTTGTTTAGGCTAAGCTGCCTCACGTTTCTTTTTGAATAAATAATACATTTTATCCCAACAGAAAGAGTCTTGTACTGTAAAAGTAGGATTGTGTGACAAAATCCCACCCCAATGCTGTTTTTATTTGATCAGAGGTAAGAAGTGAGTCATTATTTGACTCTTTGTGTTGAGAGCTGATTGAGGATGGGTGAGGATAGTTCTGTCTTTTTCACTTTTCAGTCTGAAAAAGTTGATCTAATGATGTGAAAACTAGTGGTAGAATAATACTGTTTTAAAAGCAAGCAACATGTTAGATGATTGTATTACACAATTTCTTGAAGTGCCAAAGTTTAGTAACCCTGACTTAACTATCTAAGCTTCAACAAACAAGAGCACAGAAAAATGGTTGTGGACATGATGATGTTAGCTTTAAATGACAGAAACAAAACAGATGACTGTTTTTTGTTCTGCATCAAACTGGTGCATTGTTTTAAAAGGGATAATTCACTTCTGATTAAAGATTCTTGGTAAAGTTCTCTTATGTTAGCACAAACATTTACCACCATGACAATTGCAAAACTCAAGTCAAGTCAAATTTCATTATCTGTTTTTTCTTCTTCTAATTTTCTATGAGATTTTCTGCTCTTGTGAACACACAAAATGAACAGCTGAGTTGGCACATGGTAAGGGGATAAGCTGAGCTGCTGCTGCAGGTGAGGTCATTGTTTCATGTTCTCTTTCCGTTTAAATCCAATCAGACTCAGCCCAGCTCAGCCCAGCCCAGCCCAGCCCTGTCCCCATTCAGAGTCCCTGCAGAACACAACCCTAGAGAAACTGTTTCATTACAGAGACAATCAATCAGTTTTACAGCTGTAGTGAAATGAAATAAATCCAAAAATGTCCTCTGGATGGATTAGTCAACACAGTTGACAGTTCTGTAAATGAAAAAGACTGACGCATTTACAAAACTGAAAAAGACTGACAATTGAACACTTAATTCTTCATTTCATGATTGACACAGATCCTTGAATGATTTTCAAGCCATCCTAAAGCTTTTGGTATCACTCATTCTTTTATTATCTGAGTCTGTTCTGGCCAACTCACTGTGTGAGTGTTTTTGCTCAATGTGGAAATGTTTATAGATTCACCTTGTGTTTATGTGAGTTCAGTGCAAACACCTACAGATTTCTATATGGACATTTATCAACATTTATGGACATTAATTTTAAAAATATATGTTCTATATTTTTGTGTCTGTTGATTCTCTGATCTGTGTTGGTGATGTCAAGGGTTTTGTTAAGTCCTCAGAGATGACTGCTATTGTGATTTAGGGCTTTATAAGGATAAATTGTATTGTATTCACAAAGAGTTTCACAAAGTGCTTAAAAAAATCTATTTTAACTACATTCACTTTTAAAGGTGTCCTGTTGGTAATACCATTTTTTGTGAAGAGGTCCGATTCCTGATTCTTACCATAGTTATGTTTTTACAGCATCTGAAATTTAGAAGTGATATTTAGGAGTTTTAACTATATTACAACAGTTTTTCATACAAGAAGATACCCGGCTCCTCTAACCTCCCCCTGCTCCATAAGTCCTTATGTTCTGGTTTCAAATGCCTCATCAGTTAAATTCCAAATGATGAACTTTGTTCTTTCTAATTACATCATGGTTATTATACAGAACATTATAAAAATACTCAAAATGAGCACCAATATTGCATAATATGTCTTTAAACCAAAATTCATGATTGTCAAATATATATAAAATTTACAATCACACCATATTTTGTTTTTGTTCGTTTGTTGTGAAGGTTTTGACTCACATCTCCTGTTACAGTCTCCTGGTCGGTCTGAACTTTGCCGTCTAATCCCTTTAACAGCGCTGGTGGACCCAACACACACTGCTAATCTCTGAGAACATCTGAGACTAAGAGCCTTGCATAACATCTCCTCAACTGGATCCCCTATGGACCAGCCCACCTTCAGTTCAACTAGCAAGAAGCAAGTGGAAGACAGCCTGGTATTTTAGGGAGAACGATTTAATTTTTCTTCACTGACCATTTCTCTTTTTGTTTTTGAAGCTAGAATGGCTGCTTGAAAGAATTGGCACATGCTTGAATTAGACCAGGATTAGGACTTCATGACCACAGGTTGTGAATGAAGAGAGACCTGGTCCAGAGTGGTTGAAGCCTGGACCCTGTTCAAGTTATGAAGATGGAGATTTTTTGCAGGAGACACGAGCCTGAACCATGAACAGTCAGAGGAAAGGTAATGCTTATCCCTTGTTTTGTTCAGATTACTATTACTAATATAATTCATAGAAATCTCAAACTCAAGTTTAAGAGACAGTATGTAATGCACTCTTGGTATAGTCTGATAAAGCCATTGGAACTACAATCACACTTATATTGTCAGAATCATCCTGCCTGTGATACACGTAGCACTGATTACTGATTCCAATCCACCTGCTGGTGTTTAGTATGAAACTGTGCCAACTTTGTGTATAACGCATGACTGCTTATCTTTGTATCTGATTTAATTTAAACAAATATATATTTAAAAAGAAAATTTCACCTGACAAACTGGCAACCCAGATGGGAGGTTCTGCTCTCTGGTTGGATAATCTACTTAAAATGGACATGTGTAACACTATAAACTGTAAACATGACTTAAATCATGTAATTAAAAATGAAAATGTTGCATACAGTCCCTTCAAGAAGTCATTCACTTGGGGTTCTTCAACCCCAAGTAGGTTGAATAACCTCAAGTGGATTGAATTACTCAGTTAAATGTAGTTTCTTCTTTTTAAATTTGATATTAGAAAAATAAAATGTCTCCTTTTTCACTTAGTTGATTGGTTTGGTCCATTGTGTTTTATTAAAAAAGGACACCAAGGACAACAACCTTATTTTAAATATTTCCCAATGTTTTATGCTCTTAGCTCTTTGGGGGAGCAATGAAAATGTAATTAAATTAAATTGGCATTTAACTTGAGGTACTTGGATTGTAATTAGTAATATATTACCAATGTTAATGTCTGTAATTAGTTACATATCTGAGTTACCATACTGCAACTCAGCATGCCTTCAAAATGCAAGAAAAAAGTTGTGCCTTATTGTCTGGAATTTACGGTACTTCAAGATGGATTATAATGCAGTTACCTTTGTCACAAAATATTTCCAACATGAACCATCTTGGACTCAAATATGGTAAAATTTCAGTCTTTGCTGTACATACGACCAAGAGATTGCATCTACAACCATCCAACCATAACATTTGATGCACTGTGAATATTTGTTACTCGTTTTGTTTATATTTGATTGAAATTCCTAAAAGCACTTGGAGTTTCCTTGCATATGAATTGTGCTATACAAACAGACTTTCCTTGTCTCTTGTCAGTGCGGCGGAGAGATGCGTGTGAATCAGTACATGGTGCAGAGTCCGCCATACCACAGCCGCTGCAGCCTGACAGACACTTCAGAGGAGGGGCCAGTGGAGGGGGAGGAGCCTGAGCAGAAGGCCACACCCCTCCAGCGCCTCACCTTTGACATGTGTCACAACCAGCACACCATAAAGGAGCTGGTGATTGGGCGCCGAGTGGGCTTCTACAAGGTCCGAGGGGAGATCGGCTATGGAACCTTCTCCCGAGTCAAGATGGCCTTCCATGCTCTCACCAAAGGTACAGCGGATGTGGACCTTGTGGATGTACCACAAGCACTAATATGTGCTTGTAATATATGATGTAGAATGAACACACACACTGAGAAATACCACAAGCATTTAAGTAGCTCTGACACAGTTGTTATCTTCTTTAGATTTGTTGTTTTTGTGCTTTAGCCTTGTGTACATTTGTTTTCAGTACAGCGTTCAGGATTTCACACTGAACTAGACAGAGATAATGCATACATCCACGCGAGCTGCTTCCACAAAGCAGCTTGTCACCAATGGGACCCGCACCTTCACAGTAAAGAAGCCTCACCTGGCCGGCTCTGAGGAAAATGCATTGCTACCAGAAATCCACCAAGCTCATCCATCGCCTGGTGAGGGAGATCGCCCTGGACATCAGAACAGACCTGTCCTTCACTGCCTTAGAGACCAGGCTTTAAGGGCCGACCTGTACTTCAGAGTCTCAAACCAAGATTATTAGTATTATTTCTGATTATTCGTATAGACTACTGATGGTCACTTGAATGTACCCTTGTGAAATAAATAGTATTAAATATTATTTATCCATCTGTTCATAGCAGACGGAAGAATGTAATGTTATCTTTGAAACCATCATCCTATCATTCCTCACCAGACAAAGTGGCGATGAAGATCCTGGACAAAGCTCGCCTGGACCCCACGGCTCAGCGCCTGCTGCACAGAGAGATTGTGGGCCTGGAGAGTCTGCGGCACCCCAACGTGGTGCGACTGTATGAGGTGGTGGACACACCCAGCCGCCTCCACCTGGTGTTGGAGTATGCAGGCGGAGGAGACCTGGCTGACCACATCTACACCCATGGCCGGCTCTCAGACCACCGCAGCAAGATCATCTTTGCCCAGATCCTTGCTGCTGTCAAGTATATGGTAAACCTTCTGATAACCCTATCATGTACATCATGCCTTTAAAGCTTTCATTCCACAAACAATGGCATCCAACTAGTTCCTCACTCTCATAATAGCTAGTGTCACTAGTTTTCACTTTCATGTATTTTTGGCCTCTTTAGATCAGCTTTTTCAGACAATGTTACGTTTTCTCTTATGGTTTCAGCCAATTCCCCGCCTATTCTCACATGAACCCACTTGAATCCAAGTGGCTTTGGTCAAACTGCACTGTAGTTGTGTAACATACATACAGACCTAATGCGCCGCATGTAAAGTCAGGACAATAAAGAATATAAGCCCCATGTTTTACTACGCCGTAAAGTGTTTTATGTTGACCCGTATAGTTCCTTACTTGCTGGAGAGGCCTGATGTAGAGCCTTACTGTTCTTTGTAATAACTGTAAGTAACTGTCTGCTACTCTGTTGAGGGAAAAGAGTTGGCAAGGGCTGTTGAACGGTCCTCTTAAACAGTGGTCCCCAACCCCAAGTACAGGGCACCGGGTCATTTGTAACCTAGCCTCACGGAAAGACTAATTCCGCGTTCAGACCGCAAACGCTGAAGCCCCACTCACCAGACGCGCATTCTCTAGTTTTCAGACGCAGGGGTCTTCACACCAGAACATCCTGACCAGCGCCGGAAGTGCCGGAAGTAGCCGGTCGGCTCTGATGCTAACAGAGTTATGCTAGCGGCTTCTCGTGTAAAGATCTTCTCCAATAATGTAGCTTCGCAGGGTGTCTGTGTTCAGAGACCTTCCACAGACTTTATATAACAGTAGAATGTGTTCACGGAGGTGCGCAATAAGTTTATTTTATTATTAAACGGTAGTTCTGCTTCGGCAAACACACTCAAAGCAGTTGCATAAAGTCACGGAGCATGACAACCCCCCATGTTGTCATGCTCAGTAGTACTACTTACTTAGATTACTTACTTACTTGAAGCAGCCACTTGAAGCAGTACTACTTGAAGCAGCCACAATGCTAGTTTCCACTACTTCCGCCGTAAGCTCATGCACAATCACATGACTGGATGACGTCAATGCATCTGGTCAATATCAGAAATAAGAAAACTAGATATGGTGGTTGGCTGCCTGTACATGAAACTATTTTCTGACAATAAACCGATCCGTGGCACTAAGAAGATTGGGGATCACTGCTCTAAAACACAATCTTCTGAATTGCTTTTCCGGTGTGACTACTCTCTCCCTCTTAGACCGGCCAGCAATCATGATAAATTTGCGTTAAATCCCATCGAAGAACACCTATAGCTGAAAATGTCATAAAAGATACATAAATTAATATTTTTCTCTCTAACACTTTGAACGGGTTGAAAAGTGCATTGTGCATCTGACCCTGCGTTACGGTGACTTTTCTATGCACTAATATGTCCCCTGTCTGCCTTCCTGTTTGCTCGCTCCCTCAGCACAGTCAGAACTTCATCCATCGGGACTTGAAGGCGGAGAACGTGCTCTTCACCCTTAGCGGCTGTGTGAAAGTGGCTGATCTGGGATTCAGCACTCGTCTGTCCGCACGCACACAGCTCCTGGAGACTCAGTGCGGTTCGCCTCCCTACGCAGCGCCAGAGCTCTTTCAGGTAACAGTGAGCCACTTGAATTCTTGCTTTTGTTTATATATAAATATATATTAGTTCTGTCAGTTGAACACGTTGTTAACCCATTCTAACAGCAAACATTTCTATAAACAACTTTTTGACAAAGGACTTTTTGTGGGCAACAACTAGTGACATTAGAAAGACTACGTCACAAATCTAGATGTAGGCCACAAACAAAACTAGAGTGTGGCTGTTGTTGCTGCCCCCATAAAGCCTATGGAAAAGTAAAGAAGACATTCCAGAGGACTATATACAAAAGTGTTTGTCCTCATGGTCTTTGTGGCTAGTTTGGTCAGACACAAGACTTTATGAAACAAAAAATAAAATGATTCCCAGAATCATTGTCAAACCTGCCACCCCTCCTTCTAATGTTATAGGCACGTGGAGCTGATCTAGTGTCAATAACCAGAATAACAAGCATACAGTATTTCCTATGTATTTGTACTGCAAGTCACGTCATTGCGCAGTTGTGTGTGTTCAAGCATGAGGTGTGTTCATGCTACAGATTTTAATTGTTTGACAGCACTGTCTAACAATTCAAATACTTTATCACAATGAATCACATAATGTCACAATGAATTGCACATTTTTATCTATTCTATATGTCCCTTGATTTGGGCTGTGGCCTCAAGATAGTTGCCGTTGAATAATGGTGTTTAGCTAGTCTGCATATTTGGGAGTGGATTTGGTTTTGAGGAATTAGTTCAAATACAAATGGTAACCTACTTAGGAATGGCTCTGAGCTCTTTTGAAGGGTGTAAATGTGTGCGCAGGACGAGCCATACTTGGGCCCGCCAGTGGACGTGTGGGCCATGGGTGTGCTGCTGTTCTTCATGGTGACGGCGAGCATGCCATTCCGCGCAGAAACCATGGGCAAGCTGCGGCGGCGCATTGTGAGTGGAGAGTTTGAAATGCCTGTGTGCGTGTCAGCTCCATGCCAGAGGCTGCTCCGAGGAATCCTCCGGCATGCCCCCGAGGACAGGTGTGCTGTTGACCAGATACTGGGCTGTGATTGGCTGCTGCCCGTCGAGTTCTCGTGGAACTTGGGGGCCGCGGAATGTGGAGGCGCAGCTGATTCGGATGTGGAGGAGGACGTCAGGTCAGCTCTATGTGCTATTGTGCTCTTAAAGTAGACATAACAATTTATATGTAAAATGGGGTGGAAAATTTCCCCTTATAATTCACAGTAGACCTGTAGTTGTTTTAGATCCATTCATGCTAATATGAGGAACTTCAAGCACAAACATGTAACTCCTCCCCTTCTATCTAAACGCTCCTGTCTGCTGTTATAGTATGATGTCAATATACCACTAAGATAGCATTCTCAACATTTATCTGCCTTTTAAAACAGCAGTATTGTCCATACATTTGTTTTAGCTTTCTTTACAATCATAAGTCTCTATCTGCGGCCGGTACTTTTCAAATTTGAAGAAAAACATAACAAATTTTACAGTTCAGATCCTCAGAATATCTAGCCTCCAGGAGTGATCTGTTATGAAACATGTTTTAAAGGTTCAGTGTAGATAGGTTTCCACTCCCATACAGAAGTCATTTTCCAATCTAAAGGAGATGCTCTTAAGAAATTCCGACTGAGGTGACATCACATATGCACGAAATGCCTACAATTTGACAAGTTTTGAGTGTTGTATGGTGTATAACCTAAATTATTATCACATATGTGCTTAGAATTGACTGAAAAAAAATGCGGCACCTTTTATCAACCAGCAATATCAGCCACAAACAACCCATATTGGTTGCTCTCTTGTAATTCTGGTAAGGAAGGCAGTAGTTGAGCCAGGTTATTTGGGGGGGAAAGGGTATTGACATTTGACTCAACTTTGTCTCCCTGTATACTCTTTTATGAGGGATTAATATGTCAATCCGTCTGCTCTGTGTCTCCAGAGCTGCCATGTGCGAGCTGGGCATCACAATGGAGCACCTCGGGAACAATCCCCTGGGGGACACCCGCAGCCCACTCTGGGGGGTGTATCGTATCCTGCATCACCGTGCCGAGCTGGCCCATGGAGCCGACTGTCTGCCTACAATCAGAGGGGTGGTCCGGGACCCCAAACGAGAGGGGCTCCGGGCCTACAGGGGCCTCAGACACACCTCCAAGTTCTGTTCCATCCAATGAGGCATATGCACCGTGAAACAGAGGATGATGTTTTTTTTCTTATTTGTACTTTATTTGGACCATACATGTTTTATAAATACATCCCATGATGACATCACAATACCATCGAGAATATTTACAAAATGCTAATATTTTTGTTATTATTTTTTACAGAAGAGGTTTTCTCATCAAATTTAAAAACAAACATTGTTGGGGAGAAATTTGCTACATGTACGGAGCAAACTATAACCAACAATGGTGCAGAAAGGCTAGAAGTATCACCTCTGACACTTTTGAAACTAGATTCTGTTGAAAACATTTTATAACCAGTCTGATATTTTGACTGATGAAGTATAAAAGATTAATTGAAATGTAATGCCACTATGTCTTCCCTGGAGGAGAAGACCCAAGACATGTTGGAGGGACTCATTTTATCTCTCAGCTGGCTTGGGAAAGCATCAGAATTCCCCTGGAAGATCTGGAGGAAATGTGTGGATGGATGAAATGCATTGTTGGAAAACACAGCACCACACTGCCCCCTGCTGTTTCCATATGCATCTAAAACAACTCACCTGTTGCTTTAAGATAAGACAAGATCAACTTTATTGATCTCACAATGGAGAAATGTACAAACATCATGAAAGGATATTCATATTCTGACCATCCTGAACTCTCCACTATGTTTCATATGCTCACTATACTTTCTCATTTTTCAGCTGTTTTATTTTGCTACAAAAATGACCAGTTTGAAATCAGTGCCAAAAACATAATTTAAGTTGCTCTTAATGTGCTTATAACGATTGTTTACCTTTTTTGACACACTGATCTGTTAAAAAGTTCATTAGTCGTACATTGAGTCTCCTCTGTTGCCAGGTTTGATGTTAAACTCCTGTGTTTAGGCGTCCTCAGTCCCCACCTGTAAGTTTTTCCCTCTATGACTTTATACCTGCATTTAGTTAGCATTTTTAAGAGCCTTTGTCAGCAGTTATTCAGTTTCATCAGCTACTGATCATGAAACACAATCCTGCTAAGTATTTTCTCTATTTTTAAACACTGAATTGATATTTTTTTCACTAATAAAACATCTGTCTGTCTCATAATGCTATGAAAAAGTACTTTCTCTTCATTGTTTTTGTCAGTATGGGAGTTTGATGGCTTGACTTTGCTTCGCTCACATAGTGTGAAAATGATACTTTTATAAGATTTTGATATTGAAATAAATTACATGTATTTGTTGTAATGTTTTTCTCATAAACTATATTAAGATATTGACCATGATGGACAAGCGTTTTTTGTTTTAGTTTGGTTAAAGAGATTGAATGGTTTAACGTTTAAAGAGTTCTGCTACACTGTCAAACATTTGACTCAACTTTGTCTCAGCAGAAAGTCAGCTCATCTTCAAAAGAACAAACCAGACCACAACATGTAGTCTTAAGAAAACATGGACCAGGAATCGATATTACACTATTTTGTAGTTTTAAAGTTAGGTACACCTTGACTTAAAGTTGAAGAAATGGTATGTATGCACTGTTTCTGTTCATGTGACTGAAAAAGTACCTGTCCCAAAACTTCAATGGGCATTACGTTTAGTGTCCCACAGATCTACATTCACAATGCACCATCACTTCAAAATAAAGGTATCTCAACTTTATCATCTAAGAGTAAACTAAAGTCTTATTTGTTCAAACTTTCTTTCCAGCAATGTGCTGTGCTATAATCTTCATCTATAAGGAAACCAAACAAAGTGGGTGATGTGAGTAAAAGTAAAAAGCAGTGGTCCTTTTACTGCTCTGCTTTGGACAAAGCAGTTTGTCTGGCTCCATTGTGACGCAGAGAGCAGGTGGTCAGTGCCTCGCGTCTTTTGTCTGTCCCAAACAAAGTGTCCAGAAAGTGTCCGCCCATGAGGCCCCGTGGCAGCTGCAGAGGCACAGCGAGGCCCCTAACCCCTTCCACACAGCAGCAGATGGTCCCCACAAAGAGCTTGTGTCCAAAACACATTCACATGGAGATGAGCAGGCACAGACACAGACTGCACAGAATCATGTTTTATAAAGTTTATTTCATGTTTCAACTTCTCCAGAACATTGTACATCTCTCAAGGACAGTTTCATCATTATTATAAGAAAAACATTTAAGATATGTTCAGTTTCTAAAGTTAAACCTTTAGATTACATATTTCCATGTGCTCTATCAATAATGATACTCTTTTTTTCTTTTTCTTCTTTTTCAAAATAATTTAGTAACATTTCCAAAGTGAAACCTTTAGAAGATGATAAATTAGTGATGTTATTTAAGTTTAAAGTGAGCGGTGCCTGCAGTGAAACCTTCAGCGCACACGCTCTAGGACGTGTCTCAGACATTTCTAAAGTGAAACCTTTAGAGCATTAGGACAGTTCTGGAAAGTGGGATTGGCTGAATGCGACGCTGTTCTGTCGCCAGCCCGGAGAACGTCTCCAAAAAGTCCCTTTTGTTGACGCCTCCTCCTCAGCACCGCTTCTTCTCCTGCTGCGCGTGCTTCAGCCCGCTGCGTCCCACGCCGGGCTACACTCGGGTGAGCCTGGGCGCTGGGACGGGGCTTCTCCTTTCTCTCCAAACCTCATCCGCACAAAGAATGAGGGTCAGTGTGGCCCGCGGCGCCGCCCGGTTCACACAAAGAACCGGGACGTGTGGCGCGCGCGTGCACGGGGTCACGTGCACGGCCCGGGCCGGGCTCCGGGCGTACGTGCGTACGTGCGTCCTCCTAAGAGGAAAATAAGAGCAGACATCCTGGCATCAGGAGCAGGTCACAGGGGCTTCAGCGCTCGGGCAGACTGATCTCAGGAACCCAGTCGTTGAGCGCGCGCCTCTCTTCACAGAACATGCGCAGCTTCTCCACAGACGGCTCGTCCCATGCGCCTTCACACGGGCCGCTGATCAGCACGCAGTGAGCGTCCTCCTCTGTGCGCCCCACCAGCTCCTGCAGACGCTGGCGGTCGCTCACGCGCACGATGCTGATGTCGTTGTCGAAGCAGAAGGACTGGATGAGAGTGAAGTGGATCTGAAGAGCCACGTCCCACTCAAACTGCTCATCCACAGCCAGGACGCAGAAGGACACGCTGTCCGGGTCTCTGTTGGGACGGGGAAGAAGCGCAGTTAGACATCATGTACTTTATACATGAGATAATAGATGGCAGACCCAGTATATACAGATAAGTCTTGTATGAAGTTTGGTACTTACAGGTTCATCACTTTAGCGCACTCGTACACGCCAACGGTCAGGCTGTCGGTGTCTTTAGCAGTGTCCAACACGTCAACCAGCGCCTGTGCAGCGCAGGGGGAGGCGGGCTGGATCTGCACTTCTTCCAGAGTCATGATGAGGCAAAAGTCAGAGATATTCCGCAGTGCGAGAAGAGAAGATTGTTTGTAAGTCCACAAGGAGCAGAGTGCCCCGGATAGGGCGCGTGCCGTTTATGTAGGCGCTGCTGTGCGCTGATTGGCTGCTGGCGCGTGCATTACTATGCTAATGTTATTGTCAGCACAGGCTCGTGGCAGATTGATGAGGGTCAGGGAGCTGCGCACGCCCCCTTCACGCGACAGCAGGCCGGGTTAAAAATAGTCCCATTCACAGAGTACAGCTGGGGACTTGAGCTGTATGAGCGCAGATGCAAAGAGTCTGTGCCACTTTGTGTCTGAGGCTGAGCACTGGCTCAGCTGCTTCTGTTTGCACTGTCATTATTCAAGATCGCGAGTGCATGTGCAAAAAACTTGGTTATTTTGCAGTGGAAACTCGTATTGACACCTCAATAGACGTATACAGTGTACGCATCAAACAATCAATGAACAGAAAGCTGCACAAAGGTGCTGACCTGAATCAAATGTGACTTGTTGCTGACACATTTTCGTTTATACAGGTTTGTGTGGGCAATCTCATACTTGCGCCACATGTGAAAAAACAAAAAACAATGCTGTGCATGATGTTATTTTGTTTTTTTAGAACGTCACACCAAACAGAAGACTTTACGAGCACATTATCGTCCAAAGGGTTTCTGCGTTTGGAGAAAGTTGCAAAACCCGTTGACCCAGTGCATCCCCTCCCCTCCCGTCACAGAAAGGGCAGGTGGACTGAGGGCCATCTGTTGGAGTGGGGCCCGTACTCCATTGTGCGCCAGACAGCAGGAGTGGACCCTGGACTTTTGCGCACAATGCCCCCATACAAATGCAAATGAGCCGCGCGTGCCAGAGCGGGACATGCGCGCGGGATGAGGGGGCAAACCACGTGGACATCAGCTGCGGATAATTTATTTACTTTTTCTTTCTTTTATTTTTGGAAGCAGCACGAGTTCAGCGGAGGCCTAAAATGAGATAGGCAGACGTGAACACGGTGCACTGTGTCTGGAAAAGTGCACGGTATGATTTGAGGTGTCTTCTTATATCATGTTCGAAATTTCCCCACTGTGGGACCAGTAAAGGAACTCTTATTTTATATTGGCTTTATAGATTCTAACTGATAAATACAGTGTTTTACGAGTTAAATGCAAGTCCAATCAACATTCAATGTATGAAATCATTCAATATGCACACACTACTATAGTTAGATAAACCATATACAAATCTTTCCTTGCCCTTCATCGGAGTTTTGATTGACTTTTGTGGCATTTAACGCGTCTATAGATCACTTTTGAGAGCGATTAACTTTACAACTTATTTTGACTATTTTTGTCGTTTGAAAGTTAGGCATTATTGTTATAAAATAAATTGTAATTGTAAGGGAAGGAGGTGTTTGGCTGATTTCAAAACGTCATCTCCACCAGATGATTTACAAATAGACAGTGCGTGCGGTTTGCAAAGCGCATGCGTGCACCTGCCCATGCAGTGGTGGTGGAACATGTGCGAAGTGAATAAGCCGTGACCCGGTGGGCGAGCTGGGCTGGGCCTATGGGTAGGGGGGGGTCGTGTGATTGACGCTTTTGTTTGGTGAAGCAGCAGATGGAGGACTGCGGGGCTATGCGCGTGGTGTGTGTGTGTGTGTCTATTCCTCTCCTACACAGATGACCCGAGCCTCCTGAGGTCACGGCCTATTGTCCACGCGCCTCCACATCCAACCTGATGGGCTACATAAGCAATACAAAAATAAAAGACATATTTACTGCCTGTGCGAAAGGAAGGAGACATACATTTAAAGCTGATTGGGATCGTTCAGACGGCAAGACGTTGAACAAATCCATAGCTTTTATTAGTATTAGATAGCAATATGGCCTACGTGCAGGACTGTACAAGGACTCCATGTTATGACTATGATGTGACTGTCTCTTTGTGACACGTATGTCTTTCGATGTGTGACGTGACAATGACTATATAAACTGTGTACTGCCTTTATTCTGTCTGAGAGAAAGAAACAGAGTAAACCAGTGGAACTTGAGAGAAACTTAAATAAACTTCCAGAGTTTGGCACACCACGATCCGTCTCTGTCTGCCTAAATCCTAACAGATTTGGTGGAGAATGCGCGGCTCCGTGTGTGCCATTTTCTGGATTGTTTTGAGGGAGTTTGCTCTGTTTCTTTTCCTCGGCGTGAGAGATCGGCATGCTGTGTCTGGGAGCGGGGATTCCAGCAGGCTGGAAGAGCTGTTCCTGGATGCTTCTTGTCGCTTCTGTCACTTTTGTTTTTTAAATTGAAGATTCCGACGCGGAAAAGAGTTGGCAGACCTCTCGGACAGTCCGTGCGCACCTGTTTGACAAGAATAAGGTAAGCAGACACCTTTTTAAATGTAAAGTCTGCATAATTGGATATTAGCTAAATTTTGGTCTGTTTTTGGGGTCTGTCAAACTCTCTAAATTGTATTTTGAAGAAGTCTCGGGGTTAAAGTCCCTTTGAGCCTCGGGGTTAAAGTCCCTTTGAGAAAGTCTCGGGGTTAAAGTCCCTTTGAGCCTCGGGGTTAAAGTCCCTTTGAGAAAGTCTCGGGGTTAAAGTCCCTTTGAGCCTCGGGGTTAAAGTCCCTTTGAGCCTCGGGGTTAAAGTCCCTTTGAGAAAGTCTCGGGGTTAAAGTCCCTTTGAGAAAAGCCTCGGGGTTAAAGTCCCTTTGAGAAGAAGCTTCAGGGTTAAAGTCCCTTTGAGAGAAACCATGGTGTAAAATTAAAAGTAATTATAAAAAGGGAAACGTTAAACACTAAAGAGTGCCTTTTGTTACTAGTGTGGAAAGTGATCACTTCTAGATTTGGATGACAAAAGTATAAAGAACAACATCAGTTATATTCGCTTAACAAAGTAATCTTGAAAGTTATTCTTCTGTATCTTTTTGCCTGTGTGTGCACATCTCTATCTGCTGCCGTTGTCAGGGAAACGGCCCCCTCCTTCGCTGCTCTGGCTCTGAATCTGAAGCAAAGCTACTGCTTTAGGATTTTTGGCTTTTCATAGTAGTTATTCCGTTAAATTTGCGAAATTTGCCATTTGAACATTGTGTTAGACACAGTTAAACGTTTTTAAACACCATTAGTGAATAAGTTTTGAATTAGTATGTTTTTGAAACCCAAAGATTAGTACAAAAAGCTTTGCTTTTCTTTTTAAATCTGCTGCTTATTTTGTGAGTCCATTATTGTATCTGATATTTCATAGCTGTTTGTGAGAATTTTTTCATGTATTTTTTATTTTAGTTACAAAAGCCGTTTTTCAAACATTTAAATTAGAATCCGTGTTAAAAGTGATTAGAATGATTGATTTATAGAGTTTGTGTAAAAAAGAAAAGAGGGAATTAGGAATAGAACAGGATAGCTGTAAAAGTATTATTAAGTTAAACTGTGACCCAATTTACAGTCTAAAAGCTGCGAGTTTTGTGAGTTTTGTTTTGTCTATAGCTCTGGCCTTGCAGCTGCTGCTCACTGCAGGGCGAGCAGAGTTTGATAGTGTCTTCCAATTCAAAATGTTTTTAAAAGTTTATTGAGTGCATTTGAAGAATGCAGCAATTATTTTAAATTAGAATATATGCTATAAATGTTCAAGTGTAAAAGGGAAATTCCATAAAGTGATTAATCCAGTTTAGCTGGAGCTAAATCTTTTGTTTGATTTCAAGTTTTGTTTTAAATGTTTTTACAAATTAATGTTCATTTTTATAGAGATTTTTCATAATTTCATTTCATGGCGTCTTTCAAGAAACCCAAGGATGCATAGATAATTAATCACACAGTGCATAAGTACATAATACATATTTTAAAGTTTAAGAAGGTTTAAGAGATTTGAGTCTTGTTTTTTATATTGAGAGTTTCTGGTGTTAAAAATGTCATCATTAGTAAGATAATAAGTAATCTTTTATTTACATAGCGCTTGGGAAAACCCAGAGCGCTCCAAAATTGTTTTGACTTTAGGGAGAAAAACAATCTCATTCGCATACTGATATCTATTGTTTTTTTAAATTGGCCGTTTCAAGGATTGTTTTTCAGACTGTGCCTCACTGTACGAGAGGTCACTGCTGGACACTGGACAGCGCAAAGCCGACCGAGCCACAGGTCACAGAGCTAAGAGCAAAGGGAAATGCCACCTCCTTGCCCCTCCCCCCACTACAGAAGTAAGTGGGAGTGAGACCGGGGCCATGAAAGAGAGGTATCTGGAGACGTGATGGTGGAGCATCAGGGAGAGACCTGAATGAGAGTTGAGAGTGTGTCCAGTTAGTTTGCATCACCACAGTGTGACCTTTGACACCTACAGGTGGTTCGAGGAGTCTGGAGAAACAACCCCAAAATTCACATTCACACATACACTCATACACTCACACATTCACATTTACATATAGATACATGAAAAAGCAGAACATGAGAAAAAAGCATTTTAAAAGTTTACTCCAATGTAAACACATATTTTTAATTGTCTATCACTTGAATCTTTAGTTGAATCAGTATTTTTTGAGACCAGAAATGTTCATTTGAATTCTATATTGTCATGGACTTAATTGACCTCTGTCCTGACACTTTTGATTTGTTGATTTTGTACTGTGTGAAGTAATTACATTGATTACATCTGATAAAAACCCAAACCCAAATTAGAGAAGTAAACTGAATCATTGCGCTTGCTTTTGTCTAAGGGACATTAGCAACAGCATGAATAGAAATTGTGTTAAAGTAGAATCAAAGTGACTAACCATAGAGAGTAACTATTGCATAACAAGCTGTGTACAGGAACTGAGACACTGCACCATTGACCAGAAGTGCATCGCAAATGACCTGATGTGCTTCAAGTGAAAAGACTGTATCTGGAGATCCGATGTCCAACTGGAGAGACCAGAACCATGGCTTGGACCCTACTGATGACCAAGATGACATCTCTATATGACCTGACCTGATGACGACTGAGACTCACCCTAAGGGGACCCTGAGGACCTGAGGA